TGCTTAAGACGACAGCCTTCACTGCTGCTTTCACATTTATATATCATTCCAACTGTGAAATAAATATAGGCAATCAATAAGTAATTAAAACAGTTCTAATGAGCGGAACATAACAGTGAGTATCAAGTGTAGCTACAAATCTAATAATTACAATTTAATCTCAAATTATCCCTTAGGACAAAGGGAGCTAATGGCTGGATCTACACGGGTCATTGGGAGGTAAGACTCCTCCCAACAGAAAGGTTGCTCAGTAAGTGCTGACAACATGAGGAGCATCTGCCCTCCTGAATGCTGCCCAATGGAGTCCTCAGGAATAGGGCAACCGTACATCCTGTTTTGGCCGGGACAGTCCTGGACTTCATAGGTTGTCCCAGCATCCCAGCCAGTTGACTAAAACGGAAGCAAAAGTCATGGATTGGTGGTGCTACCCTGCCTGCAAGTGCCTGGCCTGGCTCCTCCTGAGCAGCAGCTGGAGACTGGTGGGGGTTGGCTGGACTGAGCACTGCTCCTCCTGCCTGAAGCAGGGATCAGCCAGGGTGGGAGGGCTGGGGGAGGATACTGGGGTCAGGGCTCAGGCACCTATGTGGGATGAGCTGGGATGGCCTCCCACTGCCGACAGCCTCATGCCCTGCCACTATGGCCATTGCCAGGGGCTGGGCTGTGTGGCGGCCCCAGGTGGCTGCTGTTGGCAGGAGGGAAGGTGCTGTGTGGATAAGCAATGTGGACTGGCAAAGCCCGGGTGTACCACACAGAGGCCTCTCCCAGTCAGGTCAAACCTCTGCATGCAGGGGATAGAGCCTGGCTGTGGGCCTCTGCATTGTCCTGCTCTTCCCTGCCCAGCCATGAGGGTTCCTGGGAGCCATGGGGTCTGTGCATGTGTTTGGGCCCCCTTCCCAGATTTCCTTACCCGGTTCCAAATTTCCTTCAAAATAATATAGTCAACCTACTCAGGAGAGGAGTGGAATGGTCCATGTCCTTTCATGCCACATTGTTTCCAACCAGCTGCATGCCAGCTCCACTCAGGAGCAGCTTGCACTTGTTATTTTCCACTCTATATATTATAGCAAATAAACCAAACCAAAATGTATTTATTCACGTACAAATTACAAAATGAAATACTCCAACCCTATTTAAAAAAGATCAAACTGAATGATAGTAAAAACATGGGATCCATTCTTATGTATATTAGTTGCCTAAAACAGTAGATCAGCTGAAAGTAACTGCACTAGCAAAACAGGAATACTAAAATAATGGATTCAGGCAAGGAATCCAGACTCAAAGGCCAGGGCAGAGTATGAAACCCCTCAAACCTCAAGGTTGCTTGTAAAGTTTGTCTCCCTGCCTTACCTGTAACAGGTCAGAGTGCCTTGTGGTTGTGGCCAGGTTGACTGTGTAGTTTTACCAATGATAAAGGACAAGGGATTTCTATAGGGTGGTTTGCATAGGGATGATCTTGCCCCTGGATGGTGGTTGGACTAGATGACCTCTGAAGATCCCTTGCAGCCCTACTTCTCTTTGAGAAGGAAGCTTGAATTAAGCCATTATAACAACGAATGGGTACAATATTGGAAGAAAGGCGCAGTTCTGATTCACCCATGAAGTTCAGGTGAGGGTATAGAGTTTCAGTTTTCACTTTTCTTTTGAACAAAGCAGAACAGCTAAATATTCCTTCCATGCTGCCAAATGAAAGAGTTATAGTATTCACTCTTAACAGAATGAACCTGCTGGGATCTATTAATCCCAATTATATTTTCATTGCCAAATTTGATTTGAAAGTGATTTTTTTACTGTACTTACCTGACCTCTACCTCAGAAATTATCATATTTAAAAGGCCTGAACACAACCACAGCACTGTCACAACCCAAAAGGTGTGATTTTTATTTGTGTGTGCTTCGGCACTGCTAAATTGTCCCCGCTAAATTGCAGCTTCCTTGCACAGTGGAGTTTTCTGCTGCAGAGGAGAACCCCGGTGCAAGGGAGAATTTCCCGCCAATTTGGAGCTTGTTTTGCAGGGTGCATTTCTTTGCTGCAGAGAGGGGATGCTCGTTGCAAAGAGTTCCCGCCATTGGTATGCTAATTCGAGTCCCATTATTGGCCAGTTCTAAATTATTCACACGTGGCGGCTAGTGATTGGCTTGCTAGCCGTATAAGAGGCTTGAGTGGTTTCCGCCCAAGTTGGAGGACTCCACGAACAAGGGAGGAGGAGACTTCACGCTGTGTGAAGATCTCTAAGCGCTGCGGATCCTCATGGACCCAGTGCATTTGAAGCAGGCAATGGAGATCTGATCAATCTCTAGCCTCTCCCCGTCGCCGATAGAATTCCTAGACGTACCCCTCCCGCGCGCTACGAACCGAACCCATGCAGCCTAGCAAACTTCGTGTGGATGAGTGAACGGAAGAACCCACGGAGCCTGACAAACTTCGTATGAGCCCTTACGATCGGCCTCAGAGCTCTTCTACCCGGGTTCGAGTCCTGCAGGTTTATTTTCTCGTCGCCGGAACTCTTTGCGACGTACCCTCGTATTTTCATCTTCCCGTCGCCGGAACCCTATGCGACGTACCCTCGTACCCTGCAGGTTCGAGTTTTTGTTTTCTTTTCTCTTTCTGTAACTGCAACTTAATCAAGCTTTCCAGCCTACACCATTGCCATCTCGGTGTAAGTAAACAATCTTTTAAACTACCGATACGCGTCCGTGCCTAATTCCAGAGCGAAGGCCTTCCCTCTCCGCCCCCGTGTGCCCGGGCTGCTGGCCACAGCCCGCGTGCAGCATGAAAAGGGCTCGGGGCACTCCCGGCCTGCACAAGCACAAACTTGATATGACAGCTGATATAGGACTGTATACACTGAGGAACTGAATATTAAGTGCAAACACATCGTTACTCACCCACATAATGATGAGTGCAGAGTACTGTATATTCTCAGACTTTAAACATATCAGTCATGCCCTGAAAAGACTGATTTTTACCCTTGGTTATGTATCTGTTCAGTTGCTATTGACTTAAAATATGGATTGTTCCCACAAATATCAGGAAATATTTAGCTCAAAATTTACAATAAGAGGGTACCATCTTGTACAGTACATGCTATTAAAGGGTATGGAATCTAATTAGTTTTGTATGCAATACTCATGAACATTTTTCTAGATTCAGATTATATCCATGATGTTGCTGACGCTTTTATTGTTGCTTTAGTGAACCATGCAAATGAGAGGGAAAAATCCTTTTTGATTCTGACCTTTGAACAAAGGGAAAAAATGCTTCTTTTTATGGAAGCTAACTACCTTGCTGTTAAGAGACTGAAAACCAGCAATGAAAGTAAGTGCATCACAGGCAGTAATTACTCGTCTAAAGGGGCTCATTTTGAAGTACTCCAATTCTTTGCCTGTAGGGTAGAATCTGCTGTCTCCACAAAACTTTGTGCCTCTATTGATCTAGGGCACATCAGAACTGGTCAGATCTAATCAGCAAAATGGAACTTTTTGAGTGTTACTTTCATTTATTGTTAAATCTCCTTACAGTTTTGTTTTGTTAGTCTGGATGTGCAATTTAATATTCTCTTCCAAGATAGCTATTTACATTAGAACAAATAGGAAAAATTGGAAGGTGGGAGGAAAGGAACAGAAGGGAACATGAACCATCTATTCCACTGTCTTTATTCTGCCACTGCACATGCCAGCATTCATACCTTCACCTCCTTTCACTTTGACTCGCTGTAAGTCCATTTACAATTGATGGAGCACTCCTTGCTCTAGAATATGCCAAATGCTGCAGCCCACTACCTTAATGCTGAATGACTCCCACGTTCTTTTAAGAGTCTATTAAAAATCATCCTCCTTGGTTATAAGCATTTTTATCACCTTTTCAAATCTCATCTGAAAAATGTATACCATTTTTATGCAAATCCAATATGACTTTGAATTTAAGATGGCTCCCTAATAATTAGATGCTATATACAGGAAAATTATACATTTGTTATAATATTCCATGTATAGAAACTAAGTACTGGAGGGCTGCCTTAAATTTGCACCCTGCCAGTTTGCTGCAATGGGGAAAGCAGCAGCAGGGGAGTGGGCCCAGGGGGCGTGGGGAGGGGATGGGAGGGAGGAAGGACATGGGTCCTTTGCCCTCTGCCCCCTCCACTTCTCCCCCTGCAGCTCACCCCCTATTTTGCTTGCATCCCTGTCCCTCTGCCACCATCACTCCCCAGCATCTGTCCCAGTGCCTGCCCCCACTGCAGCTTGTGCCCCCTTCCCCCTCCTTATTGTCAGACTCAGCTCCAGCTCCATTTTCTCTTGGGGTATAGCACAGAGCACATGGAAGTGTGGCCCCTGCCTGGCCATTTAGTAGTGCCCCGGGGCCAGAGATGTGTTGCTGCTGCTTGGTCAGGTAGGGGACAGCCTCCATATATTCTGTGCCCCAGGAGGGAATGGAGCTGGAGCCGGAACCATGCCCGGAAGTAAGGACCAAGGGAAAGCTGGGGGGAGGCAGAGGCTGCATAGGGGAGGTGGGGGTGGGGGTCAGGTGACTGCTGTAGCTCTGACTCTGGCCCTGACCCAGGGCTTGTGAAAGGGTTTTTCCCTCCATGCTGAATGGGGAAAAAAAACCTCATCTTGGGTTTGAGTAAATATGGTATTATTTTCTTCCTTGCTTGTTAAAGGCTTTCCTTTCACTCTGGAACTTTGTAACAATTCTTCTGCATTGTTGTACGTACTTATGCCTCAATTTCACTCAAGTTAATCATTCTGGCATACATTTTGTGCCCCTTGTCCAGCAATTTATCTTTTGTGAGCACTGCAGTACTGCTCTGCAGAGATGCACTGTCTTCAGCGGGGATCTATATGGGTTTAGCAGTACAGGATCAGGATTTTTTAATCCAGTAGAAATTGAGGTCAATTAGGGAGTGCAATCAAGTGACACTGGCACTAGAACTATTATTAACTGATAACACCATCATCTTCATCATCCTTTAATCATAAATGTTGCATGGTTACGCCCTTACCATCTATGGCCAATTTGAGATCAGTCAGCGTATTTCGGACTCTTGACAGAACCCGCTGCATTCGGTCAATTTCCTGACGTAGAAATATGTTTATGGGTTGAATTGCTCCCATCTTTTGAAGCTGGGCTTTTACCTAAACAAAACAAAACAACTATTATAATAAATATATTTACATATCTATCAACTTATATTTTCTGCATGATCACTGACATCTAACTCTTCACACTGAAGGCTGATTTCTTTCTATTACAGTTCCAGTTTGTACTCTTTCCTGTCACATCCACCTTCCTTCTCATTAAAATAGCTTGGATGTGGCTCCCCATCATAGTCATTTTATTTTTCTACAGATGGCCTTGGTGCAGAGTAATGTTGGAGATTCCCAGATACCAAAACGAGATGTCTCATACAAAATTGAGGACTCAAATTGAGATGCTTTTGTACCGATAAAACTTTCAGAAATGGTATATAAAATCAGTTTCCGCCGCAAATTTAGGACTTTATTCTGATGGAAAATTAATACTGCATAAGATAACAGACAGACAGACCTGGTAATTCTATTTCTGCCAACAGCAGATAGCATGATAATTCTAATGAGACTGATCAGAAGTCAAGCTTTGATCCAGTCCTGTGGGTGTTACTTTGTCAAGGCCAAAAGTCCATTACCTGCTGATTTATGCTTTTTGTGAAAGCACTAAGGATAAAGTAAATGCTACTGTAAATGACATTAACATTATATCCAGCAGCAGTCTTCTTCAAAAGGAGTACTAGTGTTGCATTTGAATTGGGAGACTTGATAGTCCAAGCAAATTAAATGCACTGACAGCCTCCATTTCTCAGGTTTCATTTTCAGACCTTTGAAAATACTCTTTTTAACTTTATGTAGTATTCGCCTTGAGGACAGTTACTAAGGAGGTTATTCATTATATTCTAATCATATGCAGACTTGAGTTTAACAGAAAAGTTATCCAAGGAATAGGTGCCAGCAGATTAAACTAATGCTTTGTAATTTGACACCTCATCCTACAGAGTAAGTTGATGTGCTCTTTCTTTCTTTTCATTTTTTAAATTACTAAAAGTTGCTAAAGCTAGAGCACTTAAAAGTAATGCTGAGAAAATAATTTATTGTGGATAATTTATTTTGTGAATAAACCCTCTTTTTCTCTTCACAAATGCTCCATACAAAGCATATGGCTTATAGGAATTTCACAGGAAATTGTTATTCTTTCTTTTTTTCTAAAACAGTCAAAGGAAAAAGTGGGGTTTTTTTCACTCCAACTGCAAATGTTTCCTCAGCCTGATGAAGGGTATTTGTACCCAAAAGCTTGCAAAGAATAATTTTTCCAATGATTTGAGCTGGTCTAAAAAAAGATTTACCTAAAAAACCTTGTCTGTCTTTTTTTTCACTCGGTATTTAGCCTCAGACCCAAAAGAAAAGGGCTGGTACAAGAATGTGCAAAAAGAACATTCCAAATAGAAAAGGGACAGCAAAAATTCTGGCCCACTGTTTTCAACCTGAAAAACTAAAAGTCTTTTTTTTTTTTTTTTTTTTTTTAGTGTAAGTGGCATCTGCAGGAAGGATTGGGGGTAGGTAAGAGTCACAGCAGTGATAGGGAATGCAGGTGGGATCTACAGGAGCGACTGGGGGGGCAGGTGGGATCTGCAATGGGTTTCTGGGGCCCAGGAGGATCAGACAGGATTGGGGGGGGGGGGGGGCGGGGCGCATTTTAGCGGGGGGACTAGGGTCTATGTTTAACCTCTCAACCCACACTGTGGCAAACCTACTCCCCTGTCCCTCCTCACACCGATACTTACTTTCTTGGCTCCTAGCATCAGCAAATGCTGATAAAACTGGCACCCTGGGGGAACTGGGGGGGGGCAAAATCTGAGGCAGCAGTTGAAGGGACTGGAGGGGGCTGGCTAGTAAGCTGCAGAGGGATAAGGGACTCAGGGGCTAAAAAATAGCCTGGTGCTGGGCGACAGGTACAAGAAGCGCAGCCCTGAGACTTGGGCCAGCAACTGGGCTTTCCCAGCCCTGGGGCTGTGCAGGTAACTATACTGAAGTTCAATGCACCAGACTAACCTAAATTTATTAAGTCTGAGTGTATGTCAATCAAGGTCTATCTTAGAACAGTTTCTGCCATTTTTAGTCTGGGTTAAAAATGGCCACTTGATTTTAAACCAATCTAACCTCCTTCTAACTCCTCCCCCCTAGGTCTGCACTTAAAATTAAAGTGTCTTCTCAACTATTTTTATATCAACACAAGCTCCACTTTCTACACAGAGCTATGCTCAGGGTTTGGGCATTCTTTTCCATTAGAAATAAACATGCATACACAGTCACATATTTTGATAAATGTATACATGTGAGGTAACATAACTGAAGGGAGTTGACTGGACCAGCAGCTCTCGGTGCCACCTTCAGGTAGGGGGAGACGGTGCACAAGAAAAGCTGTGGTTGCAGCTGGCAGGTAGCTATGCCACCACTGGCATGGACGGCTGCCACTGTGCCATGAACTGATAACACACAGGGTGCAGAGCTGCCCAATTATGCCTCATATATGTGTGTTTTTAACATCTGTAATATTCTGTATGATGATGAAGTAACAATACTGAAATCTTACTATTACTATATATGTAAGTATATTCACAGGATTCACTCTTGTATCATGTATACTAGCCCATTAATCCTGAATGAGTACAACACAATTCATGTCTTTTGTTATTGTTGAGAGGAGATGTTACTCCTAATCTCCTGTGAGGTTTGCTAATTTTGAAATAGTCTCTCTCTTGGAACATTTTGCTGTTAATTACAAGATAAAACTAATAAACCCCTGGAAAATTAGTGAAACACTCCAAGGCCAAGGTTGTCCAAACGAAGGCTAAACCTCACATGAATCAGAAGTCTGACAATGCCTGCCCAGCTGTTGAAGCCAAATGCCAATGGATTACATCTGACCCACAACATAAGAAACATGACAAATAAAAGAAATATTCAGATCTTTCATCCTGGAATATAAAAGAGCAATCAAGGAAAATACTTTCTATTCTGCATCCTCTCTGCTGAAAGAGGCACCTGAAAGTGGTTTCATAGAATCACAGAAAATCAGGGTTCATAGAATCACAGAAAATCAGGGTTGGAAGGGACCTCAGGAGGTCATCTAGTCCACCCCCTGTTCAAAGCAGGACCATCCCCAGCTAGAGCATCCCAGCCAAGGCTTTGTTTAGCTTCTCGACCCACCCTGTGGCAAACCTACCACCTCTCTGGTTAAAAACCTCCAAGGATGGAAATTCCACCACCTCTCTGGGTAACCTGTTCCAGTGCTTTACTACCCTCCTGGTGAGAAAGTTTTTTCCTAATATCTAACCTAAACCTCCCTTGCTGTAACTTGAGATGATTGCTCCTTGTTCTGTCATGTGCCAACGCTGAGAACAGTCTAGCTGCATCCTCTTTAGAACTACTCTTCAGGTAGTTGAAGGTTGCTATCAAATCCCGCTGCAGGCTTCTCCTATGCAGACTAAATAAGTTCAATTCCCTCAGTCTCTCCTCATGTGTCCCAGTCCCTTAACTATTTTCATTGCCCTCCACTGGACATTCTCCAATTTGTCTACATTTCATACTAAAAAAGCCAGTTGTGCTGAGTGGGAGTTTGCAGCACACATATGATCTTATTTTTTGTGCAACTATGACATGGTGTAAATTAGTACAGCTACCAACAGGACACAAAGTTGCCAATTTAATAACTACCAAAGATTTTCCTGCCAGGGACTGTCAACATTTGAAAAAAGATCAGGCATAAGAGCACCTCCTGCCCCCCAGGGCCTCCATGCTTTGCAGTGTGGCATTTGGTGACAGGTAATTCAACAGGATGAGAGTGCCTACTGGATTAAAAATGAAGCAGTCAAACAAATCAGCCTTTCAACCATGTCAAAGCCAATTATCACTGAGAAGTATGTTACTGAAGCTGCAGCAAAGCTTTAAAATCAGAAAGTCCCGTGGTGGGAGCAGGTTCACGATTGAAGTGTATTCCTCATACACTGGTACAACACCAAGAAGTTTGGAAGGAAAATAAACTACTGAAATCTACAATGGAAGGAATTGCATTTACTAAATCATTTATCATGGTGTAATCAATGCCAAGAATTTTGTGCCTATAATATGCCTACCTATTTCAAGAAAATTGTTGCTGTCATCTTAGCCAATAAGGTCAGTCATCATTTGCCCACCATCATTGCCTGGACACTGAAAAAACATACTTGCTGAGCTTAAGAAGATATAATGGCAGCCCATATTTGTTTCATCTATTTTGAATGGATATTCTAAAAGGGTGAAATTCTATAACCCCTTATATACCTAGCTGGCAATTTTCCAGACATGTGAGTGGCATTTGTGGCATATGCACGAACTTTGTGATTCTATTACCAATGCAGAGTGGACATGTAAGCTTCCACATGGCGATTACATACTCATGGCTATTACATACATGGTTATTATATATTCAGCAGGCTATGCTCTAGCTGGAAAAGTAAGTAGTTACATATAGGATCATAAGAAAATAGGGTTGGAAGTGACCTCACAAGGTCATCTAGTCCAGTCCCCTACACAAAGCTGAATTATCCCTGACTAAACTACATTAACTACATGTCTGTCCAACCTGCTTTTGAAAACTTCCAAGGATGGAGATACTACAATTCAGCTAGTTATCCTGTTCCAAAGCTTAACCACCCTCATAGTCAGAAAGGTCCTCTTAATCTCCAACCTAAAATTCCCCTGCTGAAACTTAAGGCCATAGTTCCTAGAACTGTCCCCTACGGTCATGGAGAAAAGCTCCTCTCCATCCTCTGTAATTGCCTTTCAGGTATTTTAATACTGTTATCAAATACCCCCTCAGTTGTCTCTTCTCCTGACTAAATAACACTAACTCTTTTCAGCCTTTCCTCATAAGCCTTGCCTCCCACGCCCCTAATCTTTTTTGATCCTCTGCACTGGAGTTTTTCCAAACTGCCCATGTTCTTGAAGTGTGGGGCCCAAAACTGGACAGTACTCCAGGTGAAGCCTCACCAGTATTGAATAAAACAAAAGAATCACTTTTCTGGATTTGCAAGTGACACTTCTGTTAATACAACTCAGTATGCTGTTGATATTTTTTTTTTGTGACAAGGTACATGTACCTGAGTATAAGTCCTTGAAAAAAAATGAGGAGAAAGGTTCTCTTTGCTTTAATCTAAATAGCTGAGTGATGACAGCACTTTTTCAGGAAGCTAGAAACCAAGATTCTAGGCATATCCTCCCCGCCCCCAATAACTCAAGGGTGGTAGGAACCTGTATCTCTCTAACTTTTTAGCACAGTACCCTAACCATCACACCCCAGGTTAAGCATTAGATAATTCTTTTGAAGATGAGCCACTGCACCTTGTATTTATGCTTATGTACCTATACTGCACAGGCAGTGGGATTGCAAACTGTGTGCAAATGCCAAAAATACCACTTACATGTCAGGAAATCTGACATTTAGGTGCACTTAACATAATTGAGCCAAACTCTACAGCACCAGTGCAAGGCAACTCCAGAGTATGATAAAAACTGCGAACTCCACCATGAGCTTGGGATTGGAAAACTGTATTATACTAGATGATCAACACACACGTGTACTTAGGCAAACCAATCTGATCCTCCTGAATGAAACCAAAATCAAATAACTTGACTTAGATCAGATGCACGAATATTTGAGATGGAACTAATTTGTGAAGGTCAACCATTCTGAGATACAATGAATGGTGACCAAGACATCTTTAATATATTTGACTTAATTCCAGAAACAACACTGTGGCTGAATAATACTTGTGCTGTCTTATATTGTCAAAATACTTAAGTGGCCCAACATTAATCTCGAAGCCCTGGACAGGAAGGCGAGGCTACTCTTTGCAAGTCTTCACACATGCAGGACTAGCAGCCCCACTGAGAACTGTTGTAAGATGAGTGGAAGAGTCTTGGTGAATACTGAGCAGCTGTCCAGTGTTCAAGTACACTGACCAGTTACTAGGGCTCATTAGGATATCAGGCCCATAATATTTGGAAGAGAAGTACTTGAAGTGGAATCCAAACAGTCTGCTTAGGGACAGGTGGAGGACTGGCAGCAATAAGGCACATTTACTCCTGTATTCTCCACAGATCAAGTCAATCATACAAAACTGGGAATGTAAGCCTAGAAAGAACCGCCCAGACCATCAAGACCAGTCCCTGATATTCATCCAAAAGAATATTCAACCATTTATCCAAAGGTTCCTAAACAATACTTCATTCCAAACCCTCACACACCACAACTACAAGGAACAGAACCTTAACCAGCAAAAACAGGTCAAAAACAGGGATGATGAGAATTGCCAATGCCATGCATTACAGTGGCAGAGAAGAAATAGCTTAATACCTGCTCAGAAGATCCTAGGGAGGCGACCGTATCCAAACTGCATAGAAAAGCAAAAAACTCTACAATCCTTGCCAATCTCCCTGTGGGTAGGTGAGGTATTTCTTTCTGAACCCAAATTTGGCAAGTGGCATGACCCTGAGAAGAAGAGCAAGATCTCCTAGCCAGGATCCTCTGAGGACTTTTTGCACCAACAGAAGCACCAGTGCATCCCAATCAAATCCTCAGTTTTCACTGTGTCCAGTGCTCCAAAGGAAGGTGGGAAAAAGTCTAGAAGCCAATAAAACATTCATGAGTGGAAAATAATTGCTTCTATATCCTTGCAGGCATCTAGCAAAAGTCCTCAAGCTGCCAGGCACCAATCATCCTGAAAAAGAGTTACCTCTATGCCCAAACATGAGGCTTGCAATCATCATCACTTAACTGTTTAGCTGAGACATGGAAACTTCTTTGGTGAAAAAGTGGGTTTTGTGTCTATCATCAAGTCTTAAACTATTACAATAAACAAATGATATAAATTTATTGGGAAAGAATGTGTGCTGAATGCATACTGAAAGAATACCACCTTGGCCAAGGTGATGTAGCAGATACTGGCTGATGACAATGTCAGTGCACTATTGGAGAAAAGCTAAGGGCCTTTTTACATAGTAATTTTAGGCAGCACCTGAAGCTCTTAACCCTTGGATTGTCTGCACATTAACTAAATAATATCATTTTTATGTATAGCTTTCTGGCATATGTTAGATAAGAACCCAGATTACTTAAACTGTTAATAAACTGTGAATGATTTAATTAATTACTTGCATGCAGCCACAATTAAACATAGTAGCACAGAGAAGTGTTGTATATGCACGCAAAGATATGCCTATGCCAATATAGCAGCACATACCTCATGAGGGATGTAGTTGGGAGGTAACTTCTCGAGCATTTCATCAGCAAGATGTTGTACCACTGCTTCTCTGGTTTCCCCTCCTCCAGTGCCACTGTCTTTAGGCTGAATGCTAACTATTGTGCTTAATGTCTCATTAGCCGTGTTAGTTTGATACGTTATGTCGGCATTAGGGTGAAGTCCAAATACCTTGAAATAAAAAAAGAAGCAATTAGAAAAATAGAGAATAATGATGTAGAAAAAAGGTGTTCTTGTCAAGACCATAATTTTTTAAAATATACATCAAGAAAAATCTACATAAAAAACAAACAGAAAAGAGTGGTGTAATTTTCAAGTGGTAGAAATCAATGTAGCTCCAATCAAGATCAATCAAAGTATAGCCATGTAACAAGCTGAAGATCTGACCCATTAGAACAAGAACTTTAATATACAAAATCCAAAAATATGCAAAAATCACCCAAATTAACATTTATTAAAGAAAAATGTTTTAATTGATCTATTAATTTTAACACATACTAATCAGTGACTACAGTATTGATGATTTATTGATTTTAATTTTATTAATGATCTTATCAATTTGTTAATGATTCATTTTATCTTAAAGATCTGCTCATCTATTGCTTTAAAAGAATTAATCTTAGCAATTATGATGTTTCTTTCATGGGTACATTTTATCCATTTTCCATCTCTTCCCCACTGTTTTTCCTAATTAATTTTCTTTTTTCTTAATTTTTAAATTATATTAAATGTATCTTCTCTATTATTTTTATTTGCTATTCTAGGGGTACTTGAGTTGGATTAGGTTTCTAATATACATGCAACTAAAAACAAAATGAACACTATCCACAAAAGCACCTGAATTTCTGGACAGCAGGGTATTTGGAATGTGTTATATTTGAGCTAATTCTGGTTTTAAATCTTCTTTCCTTCCTGTGGAGATTTAAATTAGTGAAGTTATTCCAGGTATGAATTTGGTCCTGTGTGCTTATTTGTGTACATACATTAAGGAATATAGCACAAACCGAAAAAAAAAGTCATAATATCTTAGGATAGTTCAGGGTTCCTGAATCCACCTCTGTGCTAATTCATGAGCCCAACCTGACATTTCTTATATGCCCAAATTTCAGTGGAAAATTCTAATTACATGGAGAATGCAAGATCCTGCCCTCTAGCATTTTCAATCTACTCTGAAATTTCAAAAAACAGCTGCATAGGCCCAACAGTTTCAAAATAATTTTCAACTGGGTTGCTGAATTAAGATGTAATACAACAATTGGTAGTATTCAAGTTTTCTTTCCAAACCAAAAACAGAAAGGGGAGAAAACAATAAATCTACTTTGGTCGCTCTGTCATTCTTGGATCAAAGAGGACTTAAAAGGTGAAGCTTAAAAGGTCAGACGGCTTCTATGAACAATTCAGAGGGAGTTTGGAGTGACAGAAATAAGTTGTCACTTGCCTCCTGACCTGTGAGAATGCAAGCTTGGCTTTAGGAGAAAGGTCTTTTCATACTTGTGGCCTGATCCTACTTGTCTTAAGTAAAAAAAACAAAATTATACACACACACACACACACACACACACACGTGCGTGCGCACAACTAAGGTGGGGCAACCAGGACAGCAATAGTGGGGGGAATGAGAGGGGAAAAATGATAGCCCCTGCTGCTTGTGGCCACATGGACTGCTGGTACAGGCATCCAGGAGCCACTGCTGCCCCACATGTTACTGCTGCCCTGGGCGCCAAGCTGTCCGGTTATGCTTCTGTGTATAAACCACACATATGTATTTGTAGGCACCAAAACACTGACAAAACAAAAGCCCCAGATTCTGAAAAAAGGCTCCAGAACACATAGATGAAGAAACTAAGGAGCTGACCTTGAGATTGATGTCAAGCAGAAGTAGGTGTAAAGTAAAGAAACAGAAACTGGTGTAAGGCAGAAGTGGAAGTCCAGCTCCTGTGTTTATAACTTCACTGGGTCTGATCAGAATAGAACAGTGGAGAGCACACCTAAACCACTTGGGAACTGGACTTGCACTCCACTCTGCAACTGCTCTCTTCATTGGGCTTGCAAGCAGGTTAATAGACCTGTAGCCTGAAGACTGGCTTTGCTTCCTTGCAAACTCCTTAGGCTAGTCTTCTAGACACAACCACAGTCCTTATACCAAGCAAGCAAATGAATAAACAAAACTTTTAGGCCTTCTCCAGGCAGTAGAAGCCCTTTAGCTCTGTCCAGGTCCTAGCCATAAACAAATCCTTCCCCCAGCTCACCCCTCTCTGCGCATAGGTTTTAACTGATCATGAGACACTCCCTCATTAGCTAAATGCCCACAGCTAGGCTTCTACAGCAGGACTGTCTGCTCCCTCTTAAAGGACCAAACTGCCCTGTTATAGGCCCCAAACCTTCATTAACAAGTTAATAACAAGAAATTGGAATCCTGCACAGGAATCCTGAGGATAATCTAGATCCTTACTCAAAAAAATTAATGAAACTGGAGTGATTTATATCGAGTTGGAATCTGGACTAGTATCTTCAGGGAGATGCATAATTCAGAGCTTTTCTGTGGTTGCATCTGTCTGATCAAAAACTCAGATAATACAATCTATACATGCTGATATTTTTTGCAGAATACTTATGTTTAATGCTGTATGCTTGGCTACTTTTACTGGGATTAGATGGCATACCTTCAGTTCTGGATTACAGCACTATGAAGGTAGATGGCATACCTTGGAGGTCTTTAAGACCTGGCAAGATAAAGCCTTGGCTGGGAAGTTATAGTTGGGGATGGTTCTGCTTTGAGCAGGGGGTTGGACTAAATGACCTTCCCTCCCAACCCTAAATTTGTAGGATTCTTAGATTCCTCCCTTGCAGTTTATAGTATTCAGAGGCCATACAGGTACCAGCAGCTTTTTACAGAAGCTCAAAGCATTTGCATTATGGGACTGTAGCAGTGCAACTACCCTACTTTAGAAAAAATCTCAGTATACACTAACTGGTGATGGTTTTTCATGTATCGACTTGTATGGAGGGAGGCACAAAGGCAGCAGGAATAAAGAGTTTGGAGACGGCATCAGGAAGTCAGTCTGTATAAACATGAGTGGAGTATTCCAGAAGCACCTCTGTAAATGGTTCTCTTAATAAAGAGGCAAATGTATTTTATAAACCTGGAGTTCCTTCATGTTCTTACTCAGCACACAGTTCATTAAACAGTGCTAGTTAGCAAACTGTTTGCTAGGTATAGTTTAATTCCAAGGAAGGTTATCTATAATAAGCAGTGATACAGAAATCAAGATCAGCCGGCTTTATTTAAACCCAGACCACCTGCCTTGGCCCACTTCTGCCATGTTCTGTATATGGATGGCTACAATGTATGTTTAGTCAAGTGATTCAGTTGGCATAAATTTTCTTTAATATGTAAAAGTTAAATAATTTTACCTCTGGTGTATCAACCATTGGCAGCTGCTCTATATACTGGAGATAGTCTTCAACAGTCTTGCCTTTTGGGACTATGTAACCTTTGTAGAAGCAAAATTTGTCGCTAAACAAATGCTCTCCAAACCACACTCTTGCAAATGTGTTCAGCAACATTTTGTCCAGGTCATCTGTGACACGGCCACCATACTGCACTTCTCCAAGCATATAGCGCACACAAGACCAGTTAACTCCTCGCTTAATGTCCATATCATCCAAATGATTTTGAATAAATTGCACACTGGCTGCAAAGTCTGCTTGATTAAATTCATACGGGATGTTCCAGCCTAATGGACCAAACTTTCGTCTTTCCTAAAGGAATGGAAAGATGCAAAAAGGTTGAAGTTTAGTAACAATCGTGCAGAAACTGTAAAGTATGGAAGAATTTACAAAATGTTGATGGAGCTGTCCCTGAGCACCTTGTAGTATGGGCACACCACCTGCCAGATGCCTCAAACATGGCTGGAGTATCATGCCTTCTGCACCTTCACTTTGGTCCAGAACTGATGCCAATCATGGTCATGGCTATAAAACGCCATCTCTGCTGCAATTTACTCATACGGACTAGCTCTGATACTTCCTCCTAAGGACTGCTGGGTGCTTCTCCAGGACCATATGGCAAGCAGGTCTGTCTGCCCCTTGGTTGTGCAGCACTTTTCAGATACAGACATTTTTGGGGTTCATGTGGTGTTGTGTGATGGGAAAGTGGGTGCTTGATAGCATGCCAAACTCGAGAAGCCATGTTCTCTGGGTGGTGGTCCAGAAAATGGCAGGCTTTATGCCTAGCTTTAAAAACGCAGGGTCACATGTAGGGCACAGCCTATGAGTTCTAGGCAGTGGACTTAGGAATGAAGTCACAGAAGAGGAGCTACCTTGGGGCTGTAGAGGGCAGAGAAGCAGAGTATCCTGGGATGCTGGGAGACCACTCAACTTCCCTATTATGATCTGAAGGGTACAAATGAATTATGAAGCACTGCCCTGTAAAGTGTTTCGAAGTTGTTCCCCTTTTCATCCAGGAATAATTTTGAAGTGGAAGAGATCTATTTCTAGCTCTTCACTGATGTGAGTTATTTGTCTACTCATTTTTGGAGCCCTTTAAAAGGCACTTGGAGTGCTACACATATTTTATCTGTCCATCTCCTGAGTAAAAGGCAAAATCTGACAAACTTAGTGAACAATAACAAAATTGGGGTTATCCCTATGACATTTTCCAGTAGATGATGGGGATTCTATTCACCTTCCATTATAATCTGCAAGGGGAGCCTCAGTTTTCCTCTTTCATTCCCTCCTGTGAGTTTTAACACAGGACCAGCTTATTCAGGCATACTGTCCTTCCATTACAAAAAAACGGCATTTCTCATAGGTCTCTACAGCTCTCCAACACATGCTATAAATTGTTTCAGACTGCTCTTAAAATTTAAATGATGCCATAATTTAACTAGCGCAGTGGTAGACTACCCAACCACATGCTGAAAAGCTTTGCCAAGAAGGTAGAGCAAGCCACCTGGAGCCATACGTAAAAAGAACCTTTTAAAGAGAGGGAACAAACGGATTATCCACATTATTCCTGAGGTACCCCTTGTTGGAGATTAACTTTGTCATAAATTTTAGCTTAAATTTTACCTGTGATAGTTTGCTCATCTCAAATTTATGTTTAATACAGTTTTGAATTCTTAATGATATTCTCATTTATAAAACATGTGTCGTAGTAGAAAAGTAAGGCACTTAATAACCTGAACAGTTGTATGAAGAAATGCCACAGCATATAGCAATGGTTTCCACTGTGGCATATTGCTCACGTCCAGCTGTTCCTGAGTAACAGCAGAGTACGTCCGCTTTAAACCAGCTTTTACACCTTTAAGAAAACAGATTGCTGTACATGAGTAAACAACTTAGAGGATTTGTAACTTGGACTTTAAAAATGTGCTTAGATCCACTGTAACAAACAGCATGCTATAGAAGTGGCTATCCCAATATACCGTGTGATTTTTTTCTGTTTTGAATAACCAGTTTGAATCACTGACCTATTCATTTATTCTGAAGCAGTACCAGCCAAAATGCTTTTTTGACATTTTACTTAGAAATGGGCTTATACAAAACAAAAAGTAAACAAACAAAAAAGAATTTAAAAGGTCAGTGCTGAAAATTGAAATAGATCCACAGCAGTTTGTTAAAGCAGCCTCTACATTTAAAATGACTGTCCTTACCTTCCATAAACTTGGAAGTTCTGAAATCAGGATCTAAATCCAAATATTAAGAGGCAGCCCAGGTTTAACAATACTTAAAAGTTACCACTATAAAATATGAATTTGGTCACCTCTATTTACTATACAGTACAATGTTTTCTTTGTTCTTGGCAAAGGGCCTGACTCTTTTATTGATCTATAAAGTCTTATTTAAACCTTGTCATCAGCCTCCTGGATCCTGATTTTCTGTAATACATTAAAATATTTTTATATCATCAAAGGAAAGTATCCTGTGTTTTATTTAAAAGATCTGAAGAATGACATTGTCGAGTGAGACTTTTTCCAAAGGACATCTTGGGGTAGGAACAAAATATAGTCATCTAAGCCAGAGGTACTCAACCTCCAGCCTGAGGGCCAGATTTGGCTCATGAAGCCATGACATCCAGATATCTAGTGACAAGAGAGCAGCGGCAGCATTAATTGCTGCTCCCTTGCTACCAAATTTTGGGACTCATGGGAGTCCTGCAGATCAGGAAACACGGCCCTGTGCATTAGGTCACACCAGCAGGGATGATCACTCTAGTGTGCGGCGGGATCTGGGTGGGTGGGGTCAGACTGACATACTGAATCGTACCTGCAACCCCATGCATGATCTGGTCCGCAGACCAATCCCTATGCCACTCATCTGATCTATGGAGTTGGAGGACCTTCCCACCTTCTGTTTTGTTACTTGTTTCTCAAGCAGGCTGGAATAGGATCCTGATATACCATGAAAAACCTCCCTTAAATGATATTTAAAAATACTATTCAGATGTCCCAATTTGGCAGAGAACCTGTTGTTCGTCATTTTTAAAAGATATTTTGAGACTCCAGCACAATTAAGAGGGAAATTATCAAGCATTATCTTAAGACTATTGTGTTCTGCTAGCAATTTGGGACAAGATATGAATAATAGGAAACTGCTTAAATTCAATTTAAAATTATTATCCATGAGACACAGCTATTATTAAAATCAAATTGTAAATTGGCTACCACCTGGCAGCTAAAAGAAACACTGTTGACTATGATGCTGTCGTCTAAATGCAGATGAATACTACAATAGGCACAAAAAGATGCTAAACATTAAAAAAGATAAAGAACCTAAAACAGAAGCTTGATAACTGACTGTAAGAGTGAAAATATTTGGCATTAAGTCATAAACTGAAGCAAACTGTCTTTAAGATAAATCAAAAACAAATGAGGTTGAGATATCTTACTAACTTGTGAGGAAGTTAAATTGACTGAAAGATCAAATCTGGTCTTGGATACATATTTTCAGCTCCTATTAACTTCATTAATTGAAACCAGATATAATATCCACATACAAATGAAGGACAAGTACTGAACTCTCGTGATGTAAAAAAGGGAGTAGAGGGTAGTGCTGCAAATTGGCTTTCAAATATGTACCAGGTTGAGGACTGCTTTTTGCCACTTACAATATACTATAGCTCCAGGGTCATGGTCAGCTCCTATCTCAGCATCAGACACAACAGCCAATAGTAGGCAGGGGGCTACTGGCTTCTTTAAAGAAAGAATAAGGAACAAGGCTCTGATCATTTCCCTCAACACAAAGCTCTTCCCACCATAATTTACCCTGCTGAGATGCAGCACTGTTTTTTTTGCTTCCAGTGATGAATACAATTTTAAATGTTCCATGTAACTGGGGCTTTTACTCTTCCTTTGGGTGTTTGCAGACTTAACTGTGATCTATATACCTTCCTGATATTCAACCTAATTTTTCCCTTAATTTCCCTCCATTACTTCTAAGTGGGCATGTCTGTGTGTGTGCTTACTGCACAGTAGACTAATTACTGCACAGTAAAGTTTCACCATCTATACATACACTGCAATTAGGATGCAGTAAACTAATTTACTCTGGCATAGGTCAGACACAGGTACTATCCAACGACGGAGTAAATTACTACACTTAAACATCCGTGTAGATGGTGATGTCAGGATTATAGTTTACTCCGGTTCAAACTGCACCGGAATTTATTCAGTCACATTAACTGCACAGGTAAATATGCCCACTATAATCCAAGTATGGCCCCAAATAATTCCTTACGCTTCAGAGTATATGACACATATTTGCCACACCCTGTAAATTTCTATCCTGTAGTCATATCTCCTCCCTCCCTCCCATTTGCAAAAACACACAAACCAGTTTGTGTTGTGCTGGGCCACTGAGGGGGAACTGTAGAAGGTGGAAGAGGACAGCTCATCCTAAATGTGCAACCCCATGAAAGGCATGAAGGGGGAGGGGATTTTAGTCTAGGTTATATAGTGTTTTTGTTGATGAGAAGAATTTTATCCTTGGTCCCTGGAAGGGTAGCATACTTTTGAACTTTCACCTTTTAAAGAAAAATATTTTAATAATAAAGGTTTTTAAAAGTCTTCCTTCCTTTCTTCCTCCCTTCCTTCAGTCCTTCCATCCCTCTTCCCTCCCTAAATCAATGCCTTATTTTTTATTGAATTCCTGTAAGAAAGTATCAGCAGTCTTCTATAGATTGTGTCCTGTCATATTAGTCAGGGCTGAGCCCCTTGGGGAAAGCTGACTGATACCAGCTAACATGACTCATTCTGACTTTTGTGTATGACTTTTTAAGGGCTTCCATTAAGGAGACATGAGTGGCTCCTTGGAAACAATTAAGTGGGACATATAGATGGAAAACACTAGTGATAGCCAAGCTGAAGGAGAAAATTTAGCCTGAGGCTTGCTGTTAACATTAACAACAACAACAACAATTCATATAATGGAGATGTTGTCTAGGAGTTCATAGTCTTTCCTGAGTTGCAATTAACTAGATCCTTAGAGGTCAGGGTGTTGTCATAATACAGAAATTTCCTACAAAACATCAGCTTTCTGGATACCATAGATGCTGGAGGAAAATTCTAGAGTATTAAGGTGTCGTTTCAAGAGGAATAACGCAATAATGTGGGATGAGTTGTTTCTATTCACATTGTCATTCACATGAAGATTACCCCACTTTTTCCCCACCCAAAGGTATGGTGGCCCTGTGACATCTCTTGTCGCTTGCTTTATGATGTGTCAGCTCCCAGACAGCAATTATATGGGAGCCACATTACCAGGACTGAGTCCTAACCTCATCAATCTCTACAGACCCTAAGCGGGATCTGCAGAATAGTGAGTAGAGCACGGGGCTATTGTAACTTGTCTGTGCAATTTCTATGGGGCCAGAGAGCGGGGCCAATACCTGTCTTGCTTAACCTTTTCTTCCTTACTGTTTCCTCTAGCTAAGTACAGTCATCTCTTAGCAGACCTTGAGCCATTTAGAAGGCTGACACAGGATCAGTGGAGGAAAGCAGTGTTGTAGGATTTCAGCCCCTTGACTTGCTTAGTGAAGAAGGAAAACTATGTGAAGAGGACTCCTCCTTGTATACATCTATGTGGAAACAACTTTGTCCAACATGCAGTTTCAGTTAGATCAGGCTGGAGACCTCACCTACTGATATCTTCTCATAAAGTTTTCCCTAAGCAGACAGAATTTTGTTCCATTATCAAACAAAACTATCCTGGATTAAAATAAATAATGAATACTTCATGCATAGTGAAGTTGGTTTATGTGATGCTGCATTTAGCTAGTTGAGAAATAGGGAGAATAAAGAACAATTAAACCATGAATAATCAGTCACCAGTAGAGTCAGCAATTGTCAGAATAATTTTTTTTACCTTGAGGAGGTTCATTAGTGAATTTAATTGATGACTGCAGAAGATTAATAGGAAACTTTGGGTGGACCTCTGTAGTAATCCAGGTCCTGAAGCCCTCATTCACAGATTCTGTAGTGATTGTGTCTAACAGTTCATCAAGAAAATCTAAACCCAGGTGGCAGTTCTGTAGAAGAAGCCATCCTCCATCTTGCATACATTGATTCAATAAGCGTCTTGCATGAACCTCCTGGCCCTGACCCATTGAAATGGCATGACAGGGAGTACTCTGTAAAAAAAAAAAAAAAAAAAAAAAAAAAAATTTTGTGATCTATTTTTAATCATTGTTTCTGTTTATTTTTTTATATCACCATGTGTACAGAAAAAGAAATAGAATGTAAGAGAACGACTTGGGCCACTGCATTAATTTGACTCTATTAAAGACTGAGTTCATATCTGGTGCCAGTCTGTAGTAAAATAGAAATACCCAAATAATCACCTCCTGTCCCACAAGTCAAGATGAAACTACATCAACTAACTATGGCTGCATGGGGTCCACCAAGTTGCTTCCTCTTTGCCATGTCTTTTCCTGATGAGCCTCTCTGCGCATACCAAGATGGGAAGAGAGGCCATAATTTTATGCTAGATGCCACTGACCTTTTCCAGCATAGCAGCATGCATTATCAGAGGCAGGGCACATAGTGGATCATTCTGATCTCACCTCTAAGTAGTAGAACATCTTGAGAGAGTGGAGAGATATGCAGCTGCTGCATAATAATTTATCGATACGATATAGTGGCCTGTTTTTTGGTGATGTTTATTATATGAATATTTTCATTTAGTCTAATAGGGCATTACTTGGGAAAACAAGCAGGAAAGAATGAATGATTCAGGATAATTCACTGCTCAAAAAGCACTTGAGGTTTGTTAAGGAATACTGTATCTATCCTAATCCAAGATGTCTTTGAATTTAAGATCCCCCCCAATACTTAGATTAAGGAAAATTTATAAACGTTATAATTTTCCACGTATGGAATCTAGTTATTGGAGGGTTGTCTTAAATTCATTCTCCACAATGCTGCAGCTGGGAAAGTGGCAGCAGGGGGTAATGTGGTGAGGAGGCAAGAAGCTGGGGGAAGGCCCTGCCACCTACCCCCTGCTCGCCTTCACAGCTTCTGCCCTCCCTGCAGCCTCTGCTCCCTGCCTGCTCTCCACAGCCTCTGCTCCACATACACACCCCACTCTTCAAGGAATCACTAACACCTGCAGCCTCTGCCCCTTCCTGTAGCCTCTACCTCCCCACCTGCTACCCACAGCCTCTGTCCCCAGAGGTGGGGGCAGAGGTTGCAGGGGGCAGGCAGAGTTGGGGGAAGATGGCTACTGTGGTTCTGATTCTGGTCTCAACCTGGGCTTGGGGCCAGAGTCAGAGCCACAGAAGCTCCTCTCCCCCTGCCTTGTACTTGGATCCAAGACGAGGGACTTGTTTCCCCATGTTGAATGAGGGGAAAAGCGCTGTCTTTGATTTGAGTAAATATAGTAACTGCTAAAATAGTTGTATATGAGCAGTCTTGACAACAGTGCAGGTTTGTCCAGATGGGCTCCAGCATCTAGAAGTTGAAAGATGAGCACTCTCTCAAGGAATTACTGGAACCAGCAACAGGGATAAAAATTCTAGTTGACCCTCTACTGCGAGAGCACAAGATTTCCCTGTTCAAGAAGTAGTGGTGGCGCCTAATTAGCATGCGCAGATGCAGGCATCAAGCCTCTGGATGTTTTCAGGAGGCCAATGCTACACACACAATTTGCCCCTTGCTGTGACAATACCAGTTTATAGACTGCTTCTCTCATATAATCATCTCTCACATACAAGCATTAAACATTAAATGAAATGTTTTGAAAAGACAAGGAAAAGAATCCTTTTAAGATTATGTAAAGATTGACCTCATTTTTCTTCTTCTAAAAAATTTGTGTCAAAACTGTTTATCTCCAGGATTTTTATCTTGCTTCATAGTGTTTTGCATGAGTCATGCCAATTCATTTGTACGATTTTTATGCTAGAATATGAAGACAAAAATGTTATACCTTTTTTAGCCAATCCAGTGTCAGTTAAATTCTACTGAAGATTTTGTACATGGCTCCCTGAAAGAAAAATCTCTGTTTCCATAGGAAAAGAAGATATTTCTTCCTTCTTGGATAAAAAATTTGGACAGAATTAATACGATTTCAACTCAGTTTTGAGAGAGTTTGACACCCAACTTCTTAATAGGCATAGTGGTGGAAAAGCTACTTAGTTTTAAGATAGAGCATACCTGATTTATGAAAGGAATTATGAAAGGGATTGTAAATGTGAAAAAAATATTGTGCTTACATTAGTTCAGCTTGGGTTTAAGCATTAGGATGAAGTTGACAAACGAATAAAATTGTGAACTTGTTTTCCCAAGTTTTTAAGACCATTAAGATTTCCTTGGCAAGTACCCTAAGCAGTAGGCTACTGGGCTAAAAAATACAAGGGCCTGTATTCTTCTGCTCTGGCCGGTATACACTACGCAGGGTGATTTCTTTCTTTCCACAAGGGAAACAGAATCCCAAACTGTGCATAAGTGGCAAAAACTGCAGTTACACAGCAACATGTTCACCTATTAAACATGTAAAGTGAAATAGGGTGTAATCCTAAAGATCTAATTCAAGAAAGCAAAGTAAAGTCTAATTTCTCAAACTGGACTCTAAGCATGTAAACATTTAAAAATATTTAAATATCACCACTTAAAAACTGACTGCCTCCTGAAATATGCCCACAGCCTATAATGGTATGAGAGAAAACTCTGCTGCTTTAACAATGGTGACAGAAGATTTAAAAATGTAGCAGCATTTGCCAATAGATGTTTTTATGTCCTGGAAAGATGGTTTGCAGTAGCACTCTCCTGCATATCACAGAACTCTGCTCTGAGAGTCTAGACCAGATCCTGCCCACCCACTTCTGTCTCCATGCTTCAAACCCAGGAATGTGCTAGCGAACTCACCCTGGAGATATGTCCCTCTGGTCACTATTGACACCCTGGTCTCCAGCAATGAAGCCAATGGCCATTGGGACATGAATCATGCGTGCCCCTGGCAGCTGGGGGGGCACAGTGGTGTTGGCAGTGGTGGGAGCGCTGCGGCGGTAAGTGGGGAGCTCCTGCAGATGCCGCGGGCACTGTTGGCAGCAGGGGGGGGTGGGGGGGGGCAAGCACCGACCAGGGGTCGGTGACCACCCGCAGATGCTGCCAGTGGTGTCGGCAGCAGGGACTGGGGTGTGGCAAGTGGCAACTGCCCGCTTATCGTAGGGGGTGCACCGCCACGCTCAGGAGAGGTACACTCAGGACTGTCTTCCAGGACACACGGGAAACACGGTGCAGAAATGTACCAGCTGTCTTGTTACCAATGCAGGGTAGCAATATGAGTAGCCAATGAATCGTAGGAACCATAGAAAAGTAGAGCTGGAAGGGACTTTTGTCCCTTTTGACCAGCTTGTCTAGTCCAGGCCCTTGTTTAAGGCAGAACTGGCCCTAAATACACCATCCCAGCCAAGTGCCTGTCCAACTTGCTCTTGAAAATTCCAAGGATGGAGATTCCACAACTTCTCTAGGTAGCCTGTTCTAATGCTTGACCATCCTCATAGTCAGAAAGTCCCTCCTCATCTCCAACCTACATTTCCTCTGCTGCAGCTTGAGGCCACTGCTCCTAGTCCTAACTGGGCCACAGAGAAAAGCCCATCTCCATCATCTCTTTAATTGCCCTTCGAGTATTTGAAGACTTTTATCAAATAACCGTAGTTGCTTCAGCCTTTCCTCATAAATCTTACTTCCAAAGCCTAATCATTTTTGTTCCTCTGTACTATATTCCATGTGAGGCCTCATCAGGGCTGAAGACAGCAGAAAAATAACTTTCTTTGATTTGCCAGTGACACTCCTGTTAATACAACCTAGTAGGCTGTTAGATTTTTTTGCAAGAAGAGCACACTGTTGGCTCGTATTCAGTTTATGGTCTACTGTAATCCCCAGCTTGTTCTCTACAGTACTACAGCCTAGCCAATCATTCCCCAGTCTGTATTTGTGCACGCAATTATTCTATCCCAAGTGCAGGAATTTGCATTTACATTGTTGAATCGCACCTGATTGACTGCAGATCATTTTCCAGTCTACTCAGGTCATTCTGGATCCTAGCCCTACTCTCCGGAGTGTCTGCAATGCCACCTAGGTTGGTATAATCTACAAATTTACTAAACTTGCACTCAATTCCATCATCCAAATCATTAATGTAGGTGATGAACAATACCAGACCCAGCACAGACCCCTGGATGCATGACTGCATGTATTTCAGAGAGCTCTATTTAAGTCTTGTATTAATGCTATAGCTCATAAGCCATGCAAAAATAATTACTTTTAAATTTCTGCCATAAAGCAAAATTATTTATTTTAAATAAAAATAATAGGTAACAGACAAATGCAGACACTATGATATGTTTTGTATTCATAATTGAATAGGGGAAATAACCAACATGTTTTAATACTCCTAGAGTGTTTAAGAACAAATATTTTATTTGAACTTAAAATCTCCAAGTTAACTTATAAGAGCTGGTTCAGTGTTAGTCCCTCCAAACACCATTTCAGGGTTCAACTGGTGAAATCACCAGCCAAGGTGCCCATGAAATGCCTAACTTTGCTGCTCAGAAAACCTGTAATCATTCTGCTATTCCCTTCTTCCTGATCTCTTGCTTCTCATTTCCACTTGTGTGGTGTCCCAGAATAGTCACTGGCTGCTTTATATCTGTGATTGATAGCAACAACTAAGTGCTAGGGCAGGCTACAAACATAACCAGTTAATTTATTTAATTGAATTCAAATAGGGAAATATAAAAGGATCTCTACCTTAGCCTACAAATATTCTTGCCATCAATTAAAAATCTTTTTTACACAACCAAAGTGTTCTCCCTATATAAAACACCACAAGACACCAGAACAAAATATTACCAAACTCT